GGAATAACTAGTACTGATTTGGTTTATAATTGATAATAGATTAGGATGAAAAAGAATAACTAGTATTCTGATTCCTTGCCAAAGACTTGTTCATATTGATTGATATTTTGATCTGTGATCCATGGTGTTTATAATTGATTTGTGCTTAAGTGGGGATAAGTGGGGAAGTATTGATTTCTATTTGATTGCTTTCTTGACAATCTTATTGCTTTCTTTTACCAATTGCTATTAACCTGTTTTCTTTCTTAGTTATTTTACTACAGTTAATTTAGATTGTTTCTTCTCTGTGGAATCAACCCTGACTTGCCGTATCTATCTATTAGAGAGAGTTTGTTAGGTTTTTATTTTATGATCGATCACTTCCTCATCTCAGTACAATATTTTGAGATAAATCGGGATTTATTGGTTGATTATATCATTAGACACTTAAATTTAACATTTCCTAATTCCTCTTTTCTTTTACAAAGTTTATTCTTTTATTTAACATTCGACTTCCTTTATCGAGATTTCTATTAACCACTCAAGTGGAGTTTGATCCCATGGGGTTTTGGCTTTGCGATAATGAGATTTGGGTTTGCTGTATTCAAATAATTTCAGACTTAACATGTTGTTCTAATTGGAATTCAAAGTTCAATTGCGGTATTCAAATTATATTTTTTCTCTATTCCTGCAACTAAAGAGGAATGCAATCCTACTCATTTATTTATGGGCTTTGAATTACAGACCTCAATTGATTTTATAGTTGAAAATAATTCTCAAACAATTGTTATTGTAGGAAAGTGTAAGTGGCAAGAGGGAATTTGAAGCAAGGGTACTGAGCAAGGTCAGATTCAAGTTTAATTGTTACTTGATATTTATAATTATTGTAGCTCTTTCTATATATGTTTGGTTTGCTGTCAAAACAGTTTTCATTGGCAACTTTTCAATATTTAAAGGGTTTCAAAAAAAGGTGTGGATGGTTTTTGAGGGGTCTCCTACCTTGATTATATTCTTCCGTTGCAATTAAAAATGTTTTTATAACAAGAAATAGAATATTGATGCCCTTGGTTTAATTGAACTGGTGTCTCAATAGCTACAATCCAAATGAAAAGATGTTTGTGGCGTACTATGTTTTTTTAGATTATCAACATACATTTCAAGCAACGGATAATATTAACTTTATTTTGATGAATTACCTAGGTTAATATTAGCTTTATTTTGATGAACTACCTAGAGATGGAGTAGAATTTAGGTATTGCACCTTTATATTGAAAGACTGTCATGTATTTTGCTTTATATATGTGAATTATTTCCTTTGATTTATTTGTTTCTCTTACCTGATGAACTTACAATCAATGCAATATCTTCTTATAAAAATTGATAAAAACAACTCGAAAAAAATATAGTCCAAAATATAAAGATGTCTGCAACGTAAGTGTAGGCTGCCCTTTAACATCCCGCTAAAAAGAATAAATAAATTATCAACAAGGAAAATAAAAAGATCCTCCGCAGGGGAGTGTGGACAAAACCACCTTTTATATATGTAGTAATAATAGTATATATATTAATAATAAGAAGTATTCCTGTGTTTCTATTTATTTGTCACATTTTGGTCAATCAATTTTCAACTTTGACTATATATATTTAAAAAATAATCGGCAAGTAAATTTTTTTTTTTAATAAATGATGGTCAAAGATAGAATATAGATGATTGAAAAATGAAACTTTATTTTGTTTGTTTCACTTCAAAAAGACTTTTCAACAAAGTTAGCATACAAATAGAAGTTCAATCATCAATGGATGGATATTGAAATTAACATGACTGTAAGCCACTGGGGATAACCCATTTGAATGATTCAAATCGTAGAAAATTCAGTATGTAAATTAATTAGAAAAGAAATTTCCCACCGGCTTCCGATCGAGAGTAGACCTGCTATTTTCATAAGTACTAGTCAAAAGTAAGACCGCAGACCCGTAGTCTTCACGTCCATTAGAAATTAGAAAAAAAAAAACAAACCATTTCCCCTGTTGGCACCCAAAAACACTCTTAATTTCGATTTTCTTCCTCTCCAGACCAAAGCTATAAATAACTCTCACTTTCCAGCAATTATCCCCATCAAATTCAACTCCCAGTAAAAATGGCAACCCTCACCATGAAGAAAACCCTTATAGCTATTATGATTGCAGGAATTCTTGCCGGAGCTGTGCCTGGAAAGGTGGAGGCTCAGTGTGGGAATTCTTGTTCACCAACTGAATGTTGCAGTCGATTCGGCTTTTGCGGAACATCTCCCGATCACTGCGGCGTAAACTGCCGAGGTGGTCCTTGTGTTAACAATGGTGTTAACATTGCTGACATTGTAACACCCGAATTTTTCAATGGGATCTTGAATCAGGCAGCCGGAACTTGTGTCGGCAGAAACTTTTACTCACGACAAACATTTCTGGATGCTCTCAATTCTTTCACTCAGTTCGCCAGGATTGGGTCCGTTGAGGACTCCAGGCGTGAGATTGCTGCTTTCTTTGCCCATGTTAGCCATGAGACCGGAAGTAAGATTAATTTCTCATCATTCATCATCCACATTAATCATCATTATGTAATTAATAATTAGGATCATAAACAGAGTAATTATGAAAGTTCTTGTTTGTGGGTGCGAATGATTGATTGAAATCAATTCTATCTTTAAGATGTTACCAAAAAAAGCATAATTTGTGTGTAATTCATTCTTGTTTATTTCTTATCCGCAGGTTTTTGCTTCATTGAAGAGGATGGTGGGGCCTCAAAGGACTACTGCGATGAGACGAGAACAGAGTATCCATGCAACCCAAGCAAGGGTTACTATGGGCGTGGACCTCTGCAACTAACATGGAACTATAACTACGGGCAGGCTGGCAGTGACATTGGGTTCGATGGATTAAACGCACCAGAAACCGTGGCCAATGATCCTCTTATAGCCTTCAAGGCTGCCGTTTGGTACTGGATGAACAACGTTGCAGGAGTCATGAATCAAGGGTTCGGGGCGACTATTCGAGCCATCAATGGTGATCTTGAGTGTGATGGTAAAGAACCTGAAAAAGTTCAGAATCGGATTAACTTATTCAACAACTTTTGCACCCAACTTGGTGTTGCTCCCGGGGGTAATCTCAGCTGCTAGAATTGAAACTGACAGATTCTAACATGAAGGTTTATTAGAGTTATGTTTCAAATGAGAGAAATGGGGTTATTTATGAAATATAAGAGAGGGATTATATTAATGTCAAAAAAAAAGGGATTATATTATAGGAATATATCACCCCACAATCATGTATTTGAATAAAAATATGAGATGAATGTCTTAAATGAGCGTTTAATTGTCAAACAAATTAAAGTGTCAAACTACTTTTACCCGGTATGTGTGTGTGTTTTTTTATGGCTACAAAAATTCCTTTTTGCCTCTTCATGAACTCAGAGACTAATCAGATAAATGGCTTTATCCAAAAGTAAATATTGTGAAGTATTGCACTACAAGAAATTGGCAGTGTTGTCACGATCACGTTTGCAGCGGAATTTTTTCGTAGCAAATTAGCCACGGGATTTGTCACGGAAAAAGCTTTCCCCGCTTCAAAATTCGTGGCTAAAGGTAGCAACGGGGCATCTCGTCGCAAAATCCGAGGGACCTTTTCTAACTAGTACAAGTTGAGCGGAGAAGGAGATATCGTTTCAAATACCGTGCCTATTAGCCACGGGATTTGCAACAAACATTTTGCCACAACTTTTGCCACGTCTTTTGCAAATACCTGTGGCAAATTCCATGACAAATTTGATTAAATTTCTCGTGGGTAAGCCTGTTGCAAATTTAATTTTTATTTTTTGAAGAATTGTTTGAGGCTTTGAGCCAAAAATTGCTTTGGGTGTATTACCACAAAGTGTTCCATCATAATTGCTCTCGGATAAAGAAGAATACGAATCTGAAGAAACATCGGATGATGCAAACCCCTCTAATGGTTACTAATCTTTGTTGGTTTCACTTTTTTGATGGAATCTTACAATTGTTTGATGAAATTGTGTATTACAATTGTTTGATGGAATATTATATCATCTCAAAACTCTATAATGTCCCCAAAATTTGTGTAATTCCTAATTACTTAAAAAAAATTTAATTGAATTTTTACACAATTTCATAGTATACAAATGTGTTAGTAGTATGATCATAGATAGTATTACAAATACATTTAGCCAATTAAGTCTAAACTATTTTACATTAAATTCTACATCAAATACTCGAGTTAAACACAATATGGTACCATAAAAAGTTTTAATTTTATGGGAACATCAAATTATCTTTGTTTAGGGTAAAATTCTTAGACATAAATTCTACATTTGCCACAGTTTTTGAAACGGGTTTCTTAAAAACCGTGGGAAAAGTCGTGGCTATTTGGCACGGCCTTTGCCACAACTTTTCAATTTGCCACGACCTTTGCCACAACTTTTCAATTTGCCACGGGTTTTGCAGCGGGTTTACAGATACCCGTGGCAAAGGCCGTGGCAAATTGAGAGATGATTGACGTCAAACCCTATACTTATATGAGTTAGTAATTGGCTAATGATCACATAATTGCATTTATATCATCTCAAAATTCTATATTGTCCCCTAAAATTGTGTAATTTCTAATTACTTAAAAAAAATTAATTGAATCTTTGTAACATTGTCATAATATACAAATGTGTTAGTAGTGTATATTCATAGAAAGTATTACATATACATTTTGCTAATTATACCATGTACACAATTTTGATTTCTTTTCCAATACCAAAACTATTTTACACGAAATTATACATCCAACCAATGAAAACATGAAATAAACCTTTAATTTTATTGGGAACTTTAGATTATGCTTATTGAGGGTGATTTTGCCACGGGCTTTTTTTTTTGACAACGAGGAAATGATATATTTTTATTCAGCAAAACAAACATTACAAAGACAAAGCCAATTAGTGAGAAACAAGGGAAAACATCAAAATCCCACTAAGATCCCACTGAATATTACAAAACAGCACTATGTGGAGCAGGGAGACCATCTTTATCAAGAATACGCACCAATGAGGATGGTTTATACCTACTTAATTCGGCAAAGCTCATCCCCAGTCTAGACTGAACCGCAACCCAGTCCGCAGCCATATTGGCTTCCCTTTTCACACACTTGAACTCAACAGCATTAAAACAATTCTTCAAAGAAACAATATCAGCAACAATAGGTCGAATCTTCCAATCAGAGCCAACAATAGGATTCAGAATACTTTTAAACAAAATTTCACAGTCCATTTCTACCACAACCTGCTCTATATGCAAGAGATGAGCAAGCTTCATACCTTCTTTAACAGCTAATGCTTCAGAAATGAGGACAGAATCACCAATAACCATTTTACCAGCACCATCTATCAAATTGCCATTGTGATCTCTGATAATAATCCCAATACCAGCTTTGGAAGTCTTGCTACAATAAGCACCATCACAATTTACTTTGCACCAACCCTCTTTAGGCCTTTCCCAGCAGCATACTTGTTTTAAAGGTTTTGAAACTTGATGTGTATTCTGATCCCAAATAGAGAGAAATTCACTAGCAGCAGACTGGATCCATTGAATTACCTTATCGCCACTGACTTCTTTATGTTCCATAACAGCTTTACACCTTGAATTCCAGATAACCCAACAAGTGTAAGCAATAGTGGTTTTTAAAGACACTGCTTCTTTACTGAGTTTGGAAACCTCCATGAATATTTCTAACAGCCATTGATCAATAGTACGCACCCTTTCAATACAAATCTTCAGACCAAAACACCCTTGCCACCACACTTTTCGAGTCCAGGGGCATAACAATATCAAATGTTCAACAGACTCCACATCTTCACCACATAACACACAAATAGGCTCATCTAGGCATTTTCTTTTCCATAACTCTTCATTTGTAGCTAAAGCATGTCGACACATTCTCCATAAAAACACCTTAACTTTCGATGGAGCTTTAATACTCCAAATTACTTTCCATAGTCTCTTATCTATTTGATGAGATGAAGAAGCTCTGGAACAAGTACTGTGTCGTGTGGCAGCCTTCTGGGATGCATATCCAGACTTTACAGAGTACACACCAGATTTGTCATGCGGCCAAATTCTTTTATCATGTTCTCCACCTTCATGAACTGGAATGCTTAAAATTGCTTCTTGCTCTTCTTCTGAAATCCACTGCTTAATACCCTCTAACTTCCATGTACCCTCATTCTTATCCATAATTTCATGCACCAGTTGAGGAATATCTTCATCAATACTGCTCAAATCACCAAGTACCCTGCCATTTAGCTTAGGTATCCAATTATCTCTCCAAATACTTATACTCTTCCCATCCATTGGAACCCATAATAAATGATTTTGAAGAAGAGACCTCCCTTCCAGCAAGCTATTCCAAATCCAAGAGGGCCTCGCTCCTTGACCAGCATCAAAGAACTCAGAATTAGGAAAGTAAATACCCTTTAAGACACGCACCCACAAGGCATTAGGATACTCAGTAACTCGCCAAGCCTGTTTAGCAAGTAATGCCAGATTGAAAACCTCAAATTCTTTAAACCTTATGCCACCATCTTGCTTAAGATCAGTAAGTTTCTGCCAGTCACACCAGTGGATCTTCCTTTCATTTTCAGTCTGTCCCCACCAGTAATTAATAATAGCAGATTGCATCTCTTTACAAACTTTCTTAGGAATCTTAAAAATAGACATGACATAAGCAGGTAAAGCACTAGCTACTGCCTTAATCATGATCTCCTTACCTCCCATAGAAAGATATTTTTGTTTCCATCCTTTTAACTTGGCTACAACTCTTTCCTTAACATATGCCATTGCACCACACTTGGTTTTGCCCCAACAATTCTGTATCCCTAAATATGTTCCGGGAATAGCGGCTTCATTCACACCCAAAGCATTCACAATAGCTGCTCTATCCTCCTCCTTCATGTTGGAACTAAAGATCAGACTTGATTTGGCCAGACTTATCTTCTGACCAGAAGCATCAGAGAAGCCCTGAATAATCTCAAAAAACCTCTTGCAATTATCAAGGTTAGCATCCATAAAGAAAAGAGAATTGTCAGCAAATAGAAGGTGAGAAATCATAGGGCAATTTCGAGCAAGATTCAAGCCAGTAATGTAACCAGAGTGAATTCCTAATTGGATCATCCTAGAAAGGGTATCAATTACTAAGAGGAACAAATAAGGGGATAAAGGATCCCCTTGTCTAAGACCCCTAGAAGGAAAAATCATCCTACTTGATTTGCCATTAATAACTATAGTATACGAGACAGACCTTACACATTCTAAGACCCAATCACACCAATTACTATTAAAACCAATTTTTAAAAGTAAAGCATGAAAAAAGCCCCATTCAACACGATCATAGGCTTTATTCATATCTACCTTTAAAGCAACAGCCCCTGATTTTCCTTTCTTCTTCACTTTTAGAAAATGAAATGCCTCTTGCGCAACCACAATATTGTCATGAATCTGACGACCTTCAACAAAGGCACTTTGCACTTCAGTAATTATATCTCCAAGCAGGGGCTTCATTCTGTTGACTAGGATCGTAGATATGATTTTATAGCTGAAATTACATAAGCTAATTGGTCTAAATTGTGCAACCTCCTCAGGTCCTTTAACTTTGGGAATAAGAACAATTTCAGTGTGATTTATCTCTCTCAACATTTTGCCACTATGGAAAAAACTTCTCACCATAGCTTTAACATCATAGCCCAAAATTTCCCAATAATTTTGATAAAAAGACCATTGAACCCATCAGGCCCAGGAGACTTAAGACTGCCCATCTGAAACACAGCTTGATAAATTTCAGCATCAGTAATCTCCTTAGTCAGATTAACATTCATTTCTTCAGAAATCAAGCAAGGAACAACATCAAGGACCTCATCCCAATCTCTATTACCCTCACTGGTAAACAAATCTTCATAAAACTGACAAAAATTCTCCATAATGTCTTCTTCCTTATCAATCCAATCCCCACTATTATTTTTGATCTTAAGAATCTTATTGAACTGCCTTCTCTGAAGTGTAGACTGATGAAAAAACTTGGTATTCTGATCGCCCCAACTAATCCAATTAATTCTAGACCGCTGATGCCAATGTTTCTCATCTTGTAACCAAATTGCAGTCACATTTTCCTTACACACCTTAATTTTTTGAAGTTCTTCCTCAGTACAGGCCCCATCTTGTAGAAGAGCAATTTCCTTCAGAAGCTCATCCTTATGTTCTTTAGTTTTATTCTGTTCCTTGCACCACAATTTAATCAACTTTCTATAGTTCTTAAGTTTTTGGGCAAGCAGATAAGCTTTAGAACCATCCACATGAACATCCCAACTAGTCTTCACAACAGACCTAATATCCTCCACATCCGTCCAGTAAGATTCAAATTTAAACTTCCGAGGCCCTTTTATATCCTGCCAACAAGAGTTCAGAATCACAGGTGAATGATCCGACCCAATAGCAGGTTGTATCAACAATTGAGAATGAGGAAAAGCCATCAACCACTGAGGATTCACAAAAGCTCTATCCAGTCTCTCCTTTATAACAAAATCATCCCTTTTTCCCATCCAAGTGAACTTCTGCCCCTGAAATTGGATATCAATCAACTGACAATGTTCTACCATATCCTGAAAATACCTGATATACCTTCTATCTTTCAAGGGACCCCCATCTTTCTCACTATCATCCAAAATATCATTAAAATCTCCAATACAACACCAAGCTTCATCAATAATCAGAGCCTTTCTTTTAATTCTTTCCCACACCAGTTTTCTATCTTCAAAAACAGGAGCCCCATATACCCATAAAATTCGAAAACTACCACCACTTCTATTATCAATAATAACAGTGTCAACCAGGTTCTTACTCTCTTCAATACTTTTAACACTGAAAAAATCCTTCCACCATAAAGCAATACCACCACTAAGCCCATCCGGATCAACATAAATTGCACAATCAAGCTTCATCTTTTTTCTGATCATTTCTAACTTCTCCTGTCTATTTTTGGTCTCCATCAGAAAGATGAAATCAGGGTCAAACTTTCTCCTTAGCTCATGTAGAGCCTCAACTGCCTGGGATGACCCAATTCCCTGGCAGTTCCATGAAACTCCTATAAAAATGACTTGGTGGTTGTTGCAGGACAACCACCCAAACCCTCAGCTTCAGTTTTACTAACTTGCTCATCATTCCACCCCAAATATCTTCCAATAGAACAATCTTCTATAATCCGAACATCAGTATACCCTTCCTCAGTAACAGTACAACTTCTCTTCTTCCTGATACATTTGCTCTTTCCTCTACCACCTCTACTTGCCCACACAGATCGACTCCCATAAGTAAAAGTTGTCACTTGCCTGATCTCTACAGGAAAAAGCTCAGACTCAATCAAGGACCAATCCTTCCTACTCCAAGGATTTTCATCAGACACTTTCCTCCTTTTCTCAACATTAGAATCAACATCTTCCAGCATGTGGACATCAGCTCCCCTTTTTAACTTCAAGCACCTAAGTTCAGCTACCAAGGAAGATTCAATCAGACCAGTATTTTTCTCAACCACCCTTTTGAGTTCAACTAACTCATCATGAAAAACATTCTCATCACAAGGAACAACTTTTCCAGTAGCCTGAATAATATCCAAACCCCTATATTCTGAACACACTTCCTCACCATCATGAACTTCCTCCCCATTGATACTTTTATGAGATCCCAACTCGTAAACATTATCATGCCCTTCATTTACAATTAAATCCGGATACTGATAACTTCCAGGCATAACAGGGTATGGAAAGGTATCATAAGAATCACCAGAAAGCAGAGGGCAAGGGGTACCATCATCATAGTTTGAATGAGTAGGAGACTGAACGATAGGTAACACAATATCAGGAGCTTGAATAGCAGGATAATCAGAAGCAGGAATGTTATCTGAAATAATATTTTGGGTTATAGGAGAGATAGAATCAGATAAAACAATGTTTTGAAAAGAAGAAGTAGGCTTAATAGGTTTAGAAGAAAGACCAAGGGAAGTAGGTTCAAGATTTTTAGTGCTATGAACAGGAGGATTTAAAGCAGCAAAATCTATAATATGAATGGAGTTATGTGGCTCTAATATTTCCGTATTTTGAAGAATAGGTTTTGATTGTGAAGAAATAGGTGTATGAAGAGAATCATTATTTGTGTTATCAGAGATATTTACACATGCAGCATTATTAGTATTAATTCTTCTCTCTGTCTCTAATGTAGAAAAAATGAAACCAGGACCATCTTGTACATGAACATTATTGTCAGCAACAGGATTCTTCCCCTTATTCCTCCTAGCAGTGTCAATTTCCATAACATCACTATTAGGGACCCCAGAATTCCATTTATCAACTTGCCACTGTTTTCCCCATTTCTCCCTGGCCACATCCTCAACTCTATGTTCTGCATCAGTAATAACAAGAGCCATATCCTTACTTTTCCATTTCTTCCATTTTTCCATCTCAGAATTCATATTGCCTTGATCATTTTTCATACTACCAGCCCTTAAATGGGGGCCATACAGAGGTTTACCATCAGGACCAATCTTGACCTCATCATGACAGTGTTTGGCCATATGTCCCAATTTTCCACAAGAGTAACAGAAATCACCAAGACGCTCATACATAACAGAGGCCCAAATCTTCCCTCGTCCCTTTCTTGGAACCTAAAAACCACAGGGAAGAGGATCAGCTGCTTTAACTCCAATTCTCATCCTTAGGAAACTCTGCCCAAAGCCTTTTTTAGCACCAGGATCATCAATTTGAACAATAAAACCAAGTATTTGCCCAATGGCTCTAGCATTGTTACTGGTCAACATATCTGGAGGAAGATTATGAATCTGAAGCCAAACATCAAGATTAGAAAAATCAACCTCATCAACTATATAATCACTCACCCATCTTTTCAGATTCATACAGGATCCCATAATAGACCAAGATCCTGAACCAATAACTCTATCCCTGGTTCTTTCAGAATTAAACGAGATCCCATAAGTATTATCTCCTACTTCCTTAATACTCGGCGCCACTTCTTCAGGCCAGATACTTCGCAAAATCGCCATCACTCTTCTGCGATTCAGGATCTTATTGGCATGAATCTTGCCAATAGCCATATATTTGGACCATTCCAGACCCTCATCAATGCCAGTCTCAAGTTCAATTTCCAGATCCATGGCTATCTTAGCGTCGCAGTCTATGAACAGAGACGCCGCAAGAGGCTAATCTACCACCGCACGAACCCGAATCAAAGAATTGACGATAGCAAATTGATCAGCAATGAAAGACACGAAGAAAATAAAAAATCGAATCCTAAAACTCTAGATCTGAGACGAACCCAGAAACTCTCAAAAAACAAGAAATCGTCTCAGTTGAGAGAAAAAATCACAGCGCGTGAGGAGCGCATGAACTCTTTCACAGTTACTTATACTTTGATTTTGCCACGAGCTTTAAAACGGTTTTCTTAAGGCCCGTTGGAAAAGTCGTGGCTATTTACTCTTGGGTTTTGCCACGGATTTTTATTTTCCGCTACTAGTCCCGTGGCTAGGCCAAAATTATTTGGCGGGCTATACAGGCGCGCATAAACATCCCAAAATTTTCCTTGGCCGCCCAAATTTTCGCAGTGTTATTTTTTAGCTTAAAAATTTGGCTAAGTCTTTTTCTTTGGTCAGAACCCCAAATCGTAAGCCCTTTTCTTTTCCCAAATTCATTTGCAAACCCTAGAACCCCAAACCTCTTCCGTAAACACTAAACACACTCTCCGACTAATCTTTTTGTTTATCCTCTTCTCTGTATCTTGGATGATTATCCTTTTGTTTCTTGATTATTCTCTTATCTGTATCTTGCTAGTTGGAGTTGAAATTTTCAAAAAGTAAATCTGAATTTTAAACACCCAAACCCCGAAATTCCAAACCAAACCAGAATCCCTAATTTCCCTCCCGTCTCTTCCTAAGGCTCGACCCATTCTGCCTCCTTCACTTCTGAAATCCCAACAGCGACGAGTCGCCTGTCCGCCTGACTCCGAACGGCAATGACGACTCCCAGCTCCACCTCCCTCCTTCGACTTACTGGTATGTCTAAGACTCTAAGTTCACTGTTTGTTCTTCTTCTAAGCTTTGTAGTTCCCTGGCTTATTGTTCCGTTCCTTTTCCAGTGCTCTAACTGGGCATATCGTAGGTAGCATCTTAAGTCTTAACAAGAGAAAACTTCAGTTGCCGTGAGGAGTACCGAGATCTTTCAGCACATCCACTAATACTTCCAGGTATATTTCACCGTTTCTTAGATTAGTTACAGTATTTCTTATACTGTAAATATAAGACCCAATTTCTTTAGGCCCATAAGTCTTTAGGCCCTCTCTTTTATAATCCGATGCTTCTTTTCATTGTTTTAAGCTGATTGTTGTTAGTTGGCGTGAATTCTCTGTATGTGTGTGTGTGTGTGTGTCTGTCTGTGTGTTTGGTAAAGAAAACCCTCAAGGTTGTGCATACTTTCTGGATAGATCTCCTCCCATTGTTCATTAACTCCTGTTGTGAATTTTGTTAAGAACTGACTCCTTCAGTCTACAGTTCTGCTAATATCTGTTTCTGTCTTCTGAGCTTTTGATTTGTATATTCATTAAGTTCTCAGTTAAAAGATGTTAACTAGAGCTTTTTCTACTGTAGCTGACTTTTGAGTATGAGTATCCATTCTTTAACCTCCTTCATGCTGAACTAGCAGCTTCATTCTATAAATGGCTGATGCTTTTTGTTCTGAAAAAAAAAGACCCAATTTCTTATATTTTTGACACTCAGACCCAATTTCTTTTCTGTTTTTAGGCAAAAATACATAGACATTTCTCCATATATCTTAAATCCAATATAGGCTTTTGTTACAGAAGTTGATGATGTACTGTGAATTTTGTTTGTAGCGTATATGGCAATGGGGGCAATGGCATCCTTGAAACAGAGAGATAAGGATGTGTATTTTTTTTTAAAAATTCGAATAGAATCCAAATACAAACAAAAAGGTGAAAGTAATTAATCAATAGTATGAAGATTAATTTGTTTGACCTTTTGTCTTAAAAGGAACATAGAAAAATATTAGCCAGAATGGCAGAACCTGAAACTTTTGTTGGTGTCCTTTAATATGAGTATGGGGATTTTCAGATATTCAGATTTAATATGAATTTTCAATAACGCACCAGGGGTTTTACGATTCTTGCCTTTCAATTTGTTTATGTTCTTTTTTCCTTCAGGATGTTTGCTTTGCTTAACTTGTAAAATCTACTACAATATATAATTTTCCGGGTTGTTGAACTTTGAATAATGCTCATTATTTGCTAATTCTCTGTTGAATAATGCTTGTTATTTGCTTCAGAATCCACTTTTTTATTCTTAAAAGGTAAAATTCTCCATTGGACATCTAATTTCAATTTCAGTTATATTTGTTTTTAATTACATTTGAATAGCTTGAATTGGAATGTTCCTAGAAGTGGCACTTGTTGCTTTCATCCCTCTTTATTAGCTAATTTGATGGAAATTAATGTTTGCTATGCCTCTGTTTTCCATCCTTACTTGTTTGGTTAGTATAATTCTAATGTACAGAATTCTTTAAAATTAGAATGGTAACTCTTGGCTGGTTTGCTCTAGATAATCTTTTCTCAAGCATATTTCAATGATGCTAAGTTGTTTTTAGGTGATAGTTCTTAACATATGATTGGATAGGGATACATAAGATAAGATTGAATAGTCTATATGACATGATTGTTGCTATATTGGAGGGTTGGTGACCAAACAATTCAAAGTTTATGGACAATTATGAATTGGAGTGAAAGTGAAAATTTAGCATTAATTCTAAACTCATAATGTAGTTCTAAACTATTTCAGACCAACAATTGGTAATTCAGGTTGGTCAGAGATGGAAACAAACCAGACCTTTGTAGATGAAGAAGTAAGGCTCGGGATCTTCCCCTATCATGATTCAAACTCATCTCCACATGACTGCAGCCTATGTCCAACCAATTTGTTCAAGGTAAAAAGGTTCACTGATTGATTTTTTAAATCATGTGATAATTTCTCTCAATCACTGATTCATTAGTTTCTGGCTTGAGCTTAATGATGATTGAGTGTTCTGTTGGTTATCTAAAATTATTTATGTGAAGCTAGCTTATTTGAGAGCTGGTCATATTGGTGATTTGGATTAATTAGTGCAGTGCTTTATTCCTTTAATGCTCAAAATCTGAGATCACTCCTTTGCTTTTTTTTTTTAACCCTCCATACATATTTGATTGTGCAGTTATATTTTTAGTCTATTTTCTTGTTTATCGTTGTGAGATAGCACTTCTTGAATTAGCAAGCCTCGTGATTGGTCAAGATCATCCTTTGCTATGTATTTATATTAGATCCTTTGTGAAATTTCCATTTTGAAATTAAATCCGAGTTTTAATCTTTATCAGTAAATAATGTCAACTTGGAGCTTTATGTAGGTATATTGACAATCTTTTTTTGGCCTTTCTATATGATGTGGGCACAGGTATTCAGGACTGACTCTGAAGGAGGCACAATAGAGATTTTTGAACAAAATGAAACAGGGGATTAGATATATATGTGTGTGCGTTTTAGTGTGTATATGAGTGTGGTTTGTAATTAATGGGAAACTTTAATGGTGGGTTGCAACTCTTTTCTTTTCTTGAAGCTGTATGGCATTAGATTAGATATATAGAAGCTGTATGGCATTAGATTTAGATATATAGGTGTAGATTAGATATTTGTTGTAAATATCATTGGAATTGTAAAAATATTCTACCAAAAAAATTGTAAAAATATTATTATCATTGAATTACAATATATTTTGCTTTATTCTTATTAAATTTTCTTTTCAGTATTTTCTTATATTTTATTATAAATACAATTCAATATTTCAATTATTAAATACTTTTCTTTTTTTTAAAAAATCAATTATCAAAAAAACTGTGGCAAATCTCGTTGCAAAGTTTGCCACGACCTTTGCAACGGTGTAATTGACTAATTTGTTTTCCTTTCTTCAATCAAAATATTGTGGGTAATTCCGTGGCAATTTTGGCACGTCCTTTGTCACGGAAATATGTTTGTGACTACAACAGTGTCAAAATTTCCCACGAACTTTGGCACGATTATCTTTGACAAATTCCGTTGGAAATTCCGTGCCAAGTTGCTTGAAAAGTCGTGTTTTAGCATCAATATACCCTGGGGTTTTGGGACGGGTCAAGGCCGTGGCTAATGATTTGGCACAGATTTATCTGTTTTCCCACGGATTTCATTTGCCACAGCTGGTTAAGCGACGCCCCATTTTCCGTGGCAAAACCCGTGACAATGTCGTTTGCTTTCATTGCTAATCTGATAACTAACTGTGTATATATTTCAAATATAATCATGGGGGTGGTTAGTTAAATGGTCTCATTTTTTGGCTAAATGCGCAATTTAGGTATTAACGTTTGTCGCATACGACAATTCAGATACTGTTGTTAGTTTTCGTGTCAATTTAGAATCGAACGTTATCAGAATGTGTCAAAACAGGTTAAAATCAGACGGTTCCGTCTGTTGGTAAAAACACTCGCTAATTACCCGCGTGAGTCAATCCACATGGCTTATTGATAGCCACGTGGCATCTGAAAAAGAAAAAAAATGTTTTTTTATAATTTTTTTTTTGCGGAAAATGAAAAAAGAATAATAAAAAAGTGATTAAAGAAAAAAATTAATAAAAAATCAAACTTTCTTTTTTAGAAATTAAAGAAAAAAGCCCAAATCTTTTTTTCTCTTTCTTCTTCCTTCTTTCTTTCACCCAAACCAAACCCTAAATTTTTTTCCCCGCTTCAATGGCAGCTGTGGCGATGGTGATCTTGCTCAGCCTTAAAACCTATGCTCGCAGTTTTCTTTATGGTTCACTCAATTCCAATAGCTCCTTCCTTCGCACTGAGAGCATTTCTGAACATGGGCGATGAGTTCCTCGATCTTCTTGTGACGCAGGAATCGATTGGCGTCGAGTTTCTGACTAGTGAAAAGATGCGTATTACATACTTTGCGAAGGATTCTCCAAAGTGGAGAAAGGAATCCATGGCAAGCTAACTTCATAGTGTTGACAGGCTCGGATAGCATCGACAAATGTTCTGTTAGAAAAAGTGAGGTCATGTTTTTGAAGGATTTCTCTTGTCATGTTTTCC